TGGATGGATGAATGAATGGATGGATGGATAAATGAATGGATGGATAGATGGATGGATGGCTGACTGGTTGGTTGGATGGATGGATGGATGGATGAAGCCTCTTGGTTTCACGTCTAGTGGAGGCGGCGGCCATGTTCAGTCTTTCCACAAACTGTTTCGACACATTAAGTCTTGTGTCGCTGAAAAGTTTCAAATCTGTAAAATAAAAATAAGAAGTGTGAAAAAGTCCAATATTGATCTCAAAGGTTCATGTAAAATATCTCAGGTTCATTAAAGACTTTCCTCGTCTTTAAAACTCATTAAAGCAGAAGTCATCAATCATTTTACACCTTTATTGTTTTTATTTTATTTCAAACTTTCCAGAGTTTATTCAAAGCTGCTCCGTTTCTGGGACAAAAACAAAACAAAGTAATTTAAGACGATTACTGGGAGTTTTTCTGATAGAACCAGATCTGATTCACTCACGCTGCAAGGAAATGAAACCCGTTGAGCCAGATGTGTGTGTGTGTGTGAGGCGTCCAGATGTTTACTCAGGCCTGGACTTGTTGTAGTTCTCAGAACTCCACAGAGAACAGCAGCAGTTTGTTAAAAAGGGAGTGTGTGAGTTGAATAAAACCAAAACCACTCGAGTTCGGTCGTTAAAACGTTGAAGGCAGAAACATCTGGGAGGGACCGCTCCAGTTCAGGCCCATCGTGGTTCTGGTGATGGTTCAGAAATCCCGCTCAGTAACTGGTTGCAACAGCTGCTGAACCAGTAATGTTGGCAGATTTATCCAGTTTGGGAAAATACAGCAGAGCTTTTATTTTGAAGAAGAGATCAGAGTATTTTTTGTTGTTAAAATAAACTTTTCTCAGCTGTTCAAAGGAAACGTCAACAGATCGAACAAATGGAAAAATAAGATTTAGTCCTAAAAAACATTTTTATGAATTTGTATTAAGTGGAACTGGAGCTGAAGCAGGAGTCGTGCGTCTCCATCAGCACGGAGACTTTTATTGTTTCTTTTATTGTTTTTATTGTTTTATTGTTTTTGACTGCTGGATTTAGGCTCTAGTGACCGCTGCGGCCCAGGAAGAAAGAAGCAGTTAAAAGATTATGGATGGAGGATTTGTCTTGACCACAACACTGATTTTCTGTCAT